CAGTGTTGTTAATTTAACCGGGTAAATAATAATTAACTATTTGAACCAATGAATCGATTATTTAACCAAATTAACCAGGTCAAGACAATTTAAACAATTACGATAAAAATAGAGCTGCATTTTATATTGTTAAATAAGTTATTATTAATTTATTTATATCTAATTATTTAAAACATATATATTTCTTCGAATAACTTCTTTGTAATAATGAAATCTAAAGTTAAAATTTAATATTTGATATTATAATAAAGATGGGAAAAAGACAACATCCGTTTACACCTTATTTTATAATTTCTGAAGAAAAGGCAAACTCAACACATCGTTTTGCAATTTGCCGATCATGTAAGCGTGCATACCCGAATAAAGAAGAATCTGAATTAAAGTTTGTTAATAAAAAAACTACATGCAAAAATCATTTACGTAACTGCGAAGTTTTTCATAATGAAGTTACTCCTGAGGAATATGAAAGAATATTAAATTTAGATAGTAAATTTGTACAACCTTTAGATTATGAAGATGATGGAGAAAATTCTTGTTCTTCATCTCAAAGTCAAATTTCTTTACCATTAAAGATTTCAAAAAAACAAAAATTAAATAATTTAACAACACAGCCGATATATAAATATGATCAGGATCAATTTAATCAGTCAATTCTTTATGCTACAATATCTACTGGAGTTGCTTTTAGATGGGTAAATGATATTCATGTAAAAAAGGCATTTGCAATCGCAAATCCAACTATAAAATTACCAAATCGCATTAATTTAGCAGGAAAAATTTTGGATAACGAAAAAAAATCTGTTCAAGATCATCTAATGTCTGTAGCAGAAGCTGATGAACAAGGCGTAACATTGGCATTTGATGGCTGGAAAAATATTATAAAGCAAAATATATTAGGCGTTGTATTAATAACTTCAAGTGGCAAGCCACTAATATGGAAAGCAGAGGATATAAGTGGAAATTTACAAAACTGGCAAACGATTTACAAATATGTCATCGAATTTTTTGAAGAAGCAAAAAATAATAATATTAAGATTATCGCATTAGTAACTGATTCAGCATCAGAAAATGCCGCAGCAAGGTAATTTTAATTAAACTATAATATATATACATATTATTAAGTTAGTATAATATTTATAATAAATATTTTAATTTAGGAAACGATTACAAAAAAATATTAGAGACAAAGTTTTTTTACCTTGTTTTGCGCACCAATCGAATCTTTGTGTAGGAGATATTTTTAAAATATCAAGCCAGTTTATGAAAACTTCTAGTAAAGCCATTTGTCTAGTTACCTTTTTTAATAAGTCTACATATTTTTTAGCCAAATTACGTACAGAGCAGTAAGAAATTTATGGAAAATATATTGCACTAATGATGCCAAATGATACTCGCTGGAATAGTCATTATTATTGTTTTAAAAGTATTCTTAAAACCAAAATTGCATTAAAGGTATAGAAAAATAAATTATTATATTTAATTATATTTCAGATCTTTAATATTTGTTTAAGATATTTTATATATGTCGTAAACAATATAGATTATCACAGCTTTATCGTGCTAATCTATAATATTTGCAATAGCTTATAAAATATCTATGTATTATTTATTACAATATTAATAATAACTATATTAATTTATTTTATAGTCATTAGTTATTAAAAATTCTATAGAGTCTAAAGAAATTCCATCTGAAATTTGTGAAACGATTAATAATGAACAATGGTGGCACGATTTACAAAATTTGGAAACTTTAATTTATCCATTTTGTGCTATATTAAATAAACTTCAGAGAGATAAAGCTCAGTTACATGATGTATTACATGGTTTTGGATATCTAATGAAAGTTATTAAACAGCAAGAGACTTCTGATTTTCAGACCAAGATGATTGAAAAATTAGAGCGACGCTGGAAACAATGGGAACAACCATTGTTATTAATATCCTTTTTACTTAATCCAACATATAGATTAACAAAATTTAATAAAAATATTTCAACATTAAATTTAGTTATATTGGGTAAATGGATAATATATTATTATATGGCCTGGTTTGATGAAAAGCCTCTAAAGATTCTTTCTGAATTGAATGATTGGTTTGATAAAAAATATCCTTTTGATGATGAAAGCTTTGATAATTTTGATAAAGATATTATAAAATACTGGAAATTTGTTTCACGTGGTAGAGCAAGTGAATTGGCTAATATTGCATTACGTATTTATTCAATTTGCGTTAATTCAGCCTCAGTAGAAAGATTATTCTCTACTATGGGATTTTTTCACACAAAGCGACGAAATAAATTAAAGGTAATAATTTAAATATATACAGTCTATCTTTATTATAATGGACTCTATTATACCGTATTTTAACATAGAAAGTACCCAGCATCTACATCAGTTTTATACCCCGGATATACTATACTATATAGCAGAGCAATTTGTTTTATTTATAAATATTTAGTATACCAAAATTATACAGGTAATACAGTAATGTATCTAGTACAAATCAAGATACTAGAAACTAGAGGGTACTCTATAAGGCAAAATACGGTATTAGGAAAATTACAATAGTTGTAAAGTATATATAAAATCAGTTTCTAACTTGAATTACTTATATTTTTAGCATTCAAAAGTATTAGCCATGTGTCAAATTCGAGCCAAGATTTATCAAGATGAAATAAATGCTAACATAGACTATGCCCGGGAATGTTTTTATTCTAATAGTATTTTGAACAATCAACTAGATGAGATGGAAATAGAGAACCTTGAAGAGACGAGTTCTATAGAAGATGAAAATAGAAATATGTTAATAGAAAATAACATTGAATTAGAAGAAGAATGGCATAAAATAGTTCAATATTGGATTGAATTGTTGGATGATGATACCGATTTATATGAAATTGAAGAAAATAACAATGATAATATTTTAAATAGTTTATTAACCATCTTTGTAGAAAATCTTGATGATAATAGTTGCACGCAAGTTAATAATTTAGAACATCCCGCAGAAGACAATTTAGCTAAATGGAATTTATACGATTTATTTGTTTCAGACTTAGAAATTCCAGATTATTTTAATATGCTTTAAAGATTTTTTTTTACATTATCGCTACTTTTTTTTTTTATACATAATCGCTATACTTTTACGCATGTCTTTTTTTTTTTTATGTTTATCGGCAATTTTATTATCATAGTTTATAGTGTCGGTATGTAATCAGTATAAAATCAGTATAAAATCGGTATAAATAAATTTGAACCAGGTCAAAAAAATGTCTTGTCTTATGACTTGTCCTGAACCAGTTAAATAACCGAGGTTCAAAATTCCAAATAAA